TGCATTGGCGAAAGTGAAGTCGTTCTTTTATGCGCTTAATATTAGTGAACGTGACGAAGAAAACATTTTGAACGTGGAAAGTGCTCTGTTTGGTCTAAAACGTAAAGTTTCAACAAACCAGTTGTCCATTAAAGACTTTTTTGGTAAAAAGAAGTAACTTTGAAAGAGAAACATTGTTTTTTTTAAATTTTTTAATGCTTTCCCGCATCTATCGTTTTCCCGCATTCATCGTTTTTATTTCCCACCCCCGCCGAAAACGATGCATCGAGGTTTCACTGTATATGGAAACTTCTTTTTGTGTGTGTGCCTTAGTCAAGCTGTTGTCTGCCCAAATAATCTAGCTCCTCTTCTAGGTTGGTTGTGTGTGTAATAATGCTGTGATAAATGCTGATACTCTCCTTGGACAGCCCACCGAAGGAGCTCTTCTTGCTGCTGGCATGAAGGTATTGTTCTTGCTGCTCGATATGAATTGTACTGTGAGATATTTAATGATACAAACAAAGTTTTATTCCTTTGAAGATTTCTGTCTTCTGGGTTGTGGCGCTGTGTAGTCTGGTAGATGTTTACCAACGTTTCAGAGGTCATACTGCCTCCGTCATCAGGGTGATGACGGAGGCAGTATGACCTCTGAAACGTTGGTAAACATCGACCAGACTACACAGTGCAACAACCCAGAAGACAGAAATCTTCATACTCATCGCCCTGATGATGGAGGTAGTATGACCTCTGAAACGTTGGTAAACATCGACCAGACTACACAGTGCAACAACCCAGAAGACAGAAATCTTTATACTCACCGCTGTGAAAACCTCAAATCTTACAGATATGTACTTACAGCTTGAAATCTCCGTCTAAAATATTATATAAAACATTCACTCAGATAAGTTAAAATTTCTCTTAAATGTTTGTATGTGTGTGAAAAATAAAGAATCATTTATTTAGAGTCTAAAGCAGCAGATTAAGTGCTAAATAATTACCAGTGTTGTTAGTATTTATTGTGGTTAAATTCGCTGTTTAATTCCTTTACATTAATACTAATAATATTTTATTAACACAATTTAGAATTTTGTAAGAAAATGACTGATGTCAAACATGTGTGCACAAGTTATAGTAGTAATATTAATATTGTATATTTAATGATGCTATATCAGCAACTATGTTTTCAGCATGGGATGTATGGTGTGGCAGACAAATATGTCCGCCTACAAGAGTACCCCTTCAGTTCTGAACAGAAAATGATGGCTGTGAAATGTGTTCCAAAGTATGGAGATGTGAGTTACACATTATTTTCATCGATTCTGATATTTATTTTACAGAATATTGATTGTTGAATGCACAGTATTTAATATATCATATATGTTTTATAAAACTCTTAATGCCAATTTAGCTAAGTTCAGTTAGACATTAAATCTAAGTACATCTATGCTTGACAAATATTTGCTTGTATGTGTTTGTATAATATCTGTTGTAATTTGTGTGTACTTAAAAAAATTGAATCTTAGAAATTAGTTGATTAGTATCGTAATATTGTGGTTGAATAGTGTTTAAAAATATTTTCTGTTACAGAATTCTACAACATTTGATACAGAATAAAACTTAGCCATTATTGCTGTAAAATATGGAATTTTATTTCTGTTCTTACAGAAAAAAGAAGAAATATATTTTGTGAAAGGTGCTCTGGAAAAAGTGCTACAACAGTGTACCAAGTATGCATCAAATGGAGTTCTTCACCCATTGAATACAAAGAAGGAGCAAGATTACCTTGCTGAGGCATACGAAATTGGAAGAAAGGGACTTAGGGGTAAAGTAACAAACACTGTCTATTACAATGTATCATGTACCATATGTCACTACATAGGTGTATCTGGCACTGATAGCAGAGCCTGTAGATTCAACGCTATCAGCACCAAGGTATGCCATTTGATACAATCCTGAACTAGTTCCATCTACTTCCCATCCTGCCAACCTGTGTGTGTAATATAAATTAATATGCATTGGGGAAAGCAGAGGCATTTATGTTATGTGTAAACATTAATGATGAGCTTAAAAATCTGTACTCCTCCCCCAGTATTATCAGGGTGATTAAGTGGAGAAGAATGAGATGGGCGGGGCATGTAGCGCGCATGGATGGGACAAGAGGTGTGCACCGGGTATTGGTTGGGAAGCCTGAGGGGAAGAGACTGCTGGGGAGACCTAGACGTAGATGGGAGGATAATGTCAGGCGGGATCTATGGGAGAGAGGAGTTGAAGGCGACTGGATTTTGTTGGCCCAGGACAGGGTCCAGTGGAGGGCTTTGGTTAATTCGGCGATGAACCTTTGGGTTCGGTAAGCCATCTAGTTAGTTAGTTAGTAGTAAACATTATGAACATACACCAAATATAATTAAAATTTGATTTCAGGTTCTGATGGTGGCAAATATGAAGATGGCTTCTGTGTTGTAGTACTGTGTAGTTTAGTAGAAGTGTACTGATGTTTCAGAATTGTTTGCTGCCTCTATCATCATATTCATTTTGACACATCATATTTGAATGCTTAACATATTACATTCTGCTTATAGGATAGTTTATATTTAATTTCATTCCAGTTGTTGGCATGGCACAAGGATCTTCACTTCAGGACTTGGCATACATTGGCTTGGTTGGGATATGTGATCCTCCTCGCCCATTTGTCCGAGAAAGTATCCAGACTCTCTTACAGTCTGGAGTGAAGGTTAAACTTGTCACTGGTGATGCACAAGAGACGGCAACAGCCATTGGTAAGCACAGACTTGTATAAAATATTTTAGTTATAATATTAAGAATATAAGGGTGTGAATGATTTTGTTCGCTGTAATGAAATTCACTTTGTAGGCCATAATCATTCTGTCGTAGTTATGCTCTGATATAGGTTGTTTGATCACAGTGATTAAGTATAATAAATTCTTCTCAGGCTACCAGCTGATGTACCTGTTATTTGTGTTACAGACATGTCTTGTTTATAAAATCCTTTCTTCTGTACAGTTTTATTCATTTCTCCACCTTTGATCTGGCTGCTAGGTAACAAAACTGTCATTGTTTCATCATCTGGCAGACATTTAATGCATAAAATAATTACTGTGCAGTGCCATGACAGTAAATAATTTAACAGTGATCAATAGGGATTATCTCTTGTAGTTTGTAATTTTAATAATTTATTTTATTATTTCAGTACAGTTTATTTTAAGAAAACTGGAGTGAAGAGAGGTTATATCTATTGTGTCGTAAAATTATGTATGTATTTGGTAGTAATTTTAGCTTTTGCGTCACAGCTTCTATGATAGGACTTGATACTATCCATTCACAAGTTCTGTCAGGAGATCAGATTGAGACCATGACCGAACATCAGTTAGAGCAAGTTGTAAACAGTGTGAGCGTGTTCTACCGAGTTACACCGAGGCACAAGCTCTGCATTGTCAAGGTGAGGTACTGGAAGAGTTAATACATTGAAGGTACATCCTATGGGACACAGTACGCATGAGAAATGTTTATTGGAAAACCTAGAGGAAAGAGATCTCTTGGGGGACCTAATTTAGATATATTACTGAAATGGATCTTAAGAAAAGAATGTGAGCTATGGACTGGATGCAAGTGGCTCGGGTGAGGTCTGGTGATGGGCTTCTGTGAACATGATAATCAACTTCAGGGTTTATCAAGAGACAGGGAATTTCTTGATTGCTTGAGTGACTGTTAGCTTCTCAAGAATGACTGCTCCGTGGAGTTCGTTTACTGCATAAGGTATCACCCTGGTAAAGTCACTGTTATTTACAGAAATGTCAGTTGAAGTCATGTCTCCTGTTTCCAATGAACATGACTCATCATCGATGTGTTGGCTGTGTTCTGCCCTAAATTGGTGACATCCTCTCACATTATTTCCAATTTGTTATTTGTTAATGATATCCAACGCTAAGTCTGCTGTATTTGCCACAAATTAATAAACTATTAAGGAACAGGATTTTAAAACATATATTTGACCAAATGCAGCTATTTCACCTTTGTTGATTGTGGTTGGTGGTATTTAATGGTAAGTATGATGTGCCAGTAACTTAATCATTAGAAGTTCAATTGTCAATGAAGACTGTTTCTGTTTTGTGCAGGCTTTACAGCGAAATGGTATCATTGTTGGGATGACAGGTGATGGTGTCAATGACGGCGTAGCTCTCAAGAAAGCTGATATTGGCATTGCTATGGGAAAGAATGGAACAGATGTGTGTAAGGAAGCAGCAGACATGATCCTTGTGGATGATGACTTCCATACAATCATGTTAGTGAAATGGAATTATTGTTTTGGGTGTCATGAATCTTACAAGTTACTAATGAATGGTTAAAGGTATTCATATTTTATGCTTTCCCTTGGAAGACAAAATATTGAATATTTTATGAGGAAGAAGAACTTCTTTTAGAAAAATTTCTGAAGGAATATGAGAATGAGTCTTCCACCTTTGCTATTCCAGAATCCTCATAGAAATAATCTTTAACCCTTTGAAGCCAGTTCATGTCTGATTAATATGTAAAAATTTAATCGTTAACACAAAGAAGATGTGACATGTCCATTACAAAGATTAGTTGGTTAATGCAATTTAGGGAAGTAATTGTTTATTCTGAGAATCATTCAAAACCCATAAATGTTTTCTGTGAGCAAATGCAGACTAGTTGACCATTGAAGCATGTGGTAAATGTAGTTACCATTGGGCTGCTGTAAAGGGTTAATATGAAGAAAGGTGATATTTAAGAATGTGAATTTAATTTTATTTCTACAGGAAATCATGAATATTTAATGAAGTGCAAGGAAAATAATTTCTGGTTTTGCGCCCTGATATGTCAGTGTTAGTAGCTTTATAATAAAAGATTTGCATTTGCAGTAAATGAATACAAGGCTAGTGATTTGTACAAAATCGTTAAGAATGCCTTTGGAAAATATTGCTCTCACTGAGAAGCATTTATGCATGGCAGTGGTTTAACATTTCTGGACTGAATTTCCTCTTTTCCCAAGATTGCAAAAAAAAGTCATTTTTTGTTGTTTTCAGCTCTGCAATTGAAGAAGGGAAAGGCATTTTTTATAACATCCGTAACTTTGTAAGGTTCCAACTCAGCACCAGTATTGCAGCACTGTCCCTCATTGCTCTTGCCACACTTATGGGAATTCCAAATCCTTTAAATGCCATGCAGATTCTGTGGATTAACATCATCATGGATGGACCTCCAGCTCAGAGGTGAGGCTTCTAACTTCTGTTATAAGGTCCTAATCATTTTGCTGCTATAGGAGCATCAAGTATTTTATTATGTAATTAATCAGGTATTTTACACAATTTTTTACATTGAAGCAACAGTAGGACAATTATAAGATTCATCTTATAATATGAAAGTCATGTCCTGCGCTGTAGCCGCACAGTCTGAGGCATCATGCTTCGGCCGGCGATACGGAATGCGCGCTGGTTCGAGTCTCGGGGAAGAAGAAATTTCTCATGAGATTTTCAACCGGTGTATGGGACTGGTGCCAACCCAGCATCGTGAGGAAATTGGGGAGCTACAATGAGTAGCGTAATCTGGTCAGGAAAGCTAGCAATGGCTGGGGGTTCGTCATACTGACCACACGTCACCCTATATCTGGTTGGATGATTGTTCACCTCTGCTTAGGCATGTGAACGTGAGGCCGGCAGTCAAGCTAGTCGGCTTTGGCTCTCTGGAGCTGTTATGCCACTGATAAAAAAAAATATGAAAGTTATTATGTAAGTTTGAAATCCTGTATATTGGAATTGTAAAACATTTTCTGAAGCATTGCAGATAAATAATAATTATGAGGTTATTATTAGTAATGCCTTTGTTGCAGTCTTGGTGTCGAGCCAGTGGATAAGGATGTCATAAAGCAGAAACCTAGGAATGTGAAGGAACCGATGATCACTCGCTCACTTATCATTAATGTCTTACTTTCTGCTTTCATCATCATTGCTGGAACTCTCTGGGTTTTCAAGAGGGAGGTGGGTATTGTGGGAGGTATTAAATGATATGTAGTATTTATACGTATGGTATTTATCTGTTTATTCATATAATTTATACAGCTTCATTTTGGGAAGTACTCAAAAATCTTTGATAACTAATGGTACCCAATTCACTACTGTTAGAAATCCACAAAATTATGCAGTTGTGAATGTAATGTTTGCATTTGTTTTGCTTGAACTCCCATGGCACAGGGTCCTTCCAGAAGTATTTAAAATTACTTAGTTGGTGAAAATGTTCTGTGATTTATGGAATCTACAGATTCGTCACCATATTCACAGAAGTCCCCCATTGGACCGTATCCTGAGGCACTTGAGTATCCACACACCTTCACATTGTGTTCCTCTTAAGATTATTTTGTATAGTATATTATATTATATTATAGGTGTCTAAAATAGTTTTGGGGCTAAAAGTAGTTTCAAAACATTCTAACTATAATATTAAATAATTTGCATTTATTATTTTCTCCATGTCTGTTAAATGTTCTACTCAGCCCATCCTCCTTGATTTGATCACTGTTACAATATTAGGTAAAGAATTGATTTTGGAATAATTCGTGAAATTCTGAAAAAATTGCAAGTAACCAAAAGTATGACTGAAATGATAAGTGGATTTTTAAGCTGGATGGAATGTGCGTGGAGGGAAAAAAATGGTTGTGAACAAAATGAGGCAGGGAGATGTATTATTTATCAATTTAAGTGCTGTTGGTTAATTTTTATCACTAATCTGACCAGATGTCAGTCCTGCTAATGTATAGTTTCTTCCATCTACACATATTTCATGCCTCATTGTACAAGTATGTTGCTGTGACAGTGGAAGGAGTTTTCTTGATTTCTTATAAATAGCTTTCTCAGACCTTGTGTTGAAATTGATTGAAAAGTTTTTGTCTTCACTTTTATTACTATTTTGTTCTTTTGTTTCAGATGAGTGACAACATAATAACACCCAGAGATACCACTATGACCTTCACATGCTTCGTGTTTTTTGACATGTTCAATGCTCTCAGTTGCCGATCACAGGTTTGTGACTTCTGTTGCTTTAATGTATTTTTTTAGCCTATAATTGAGTGTCATGAAGTAAATAAGAAAGGACATGTGATGATACTTTTGTTTACAGAATCTGAATTTTACAAGAAAAAATAAGTAATTGTTGTTCCTGTCAGTGCATTGACATTTGTGTGTCAGTTAAAATTGTTTACGTTGTTAATGAGGTCTGTTATGAAATGTATGTAGAACGTTCAAAAAATATACACTCAGTTACAGGCATTAAGACAGGATTATTGAAGATGTGTGATATCACAGTCTTTTGTGTAGTACAAATTCCAGAGTGGAATTTATGTAAGAAATAAGAAATTTTGCTATTTTAAATCCTATGGAATAACTTTCTGTTTTAAATGCAAGTATATGCATATCCATAAGGCTATCATAATAAATAATCAATTTCATTATTAGAGTGAATTTTGTTTTCAGGAAACTTCAGTTGAATGATGGGTAGTTTGCTAATACGGTGCAAACTTTATGTAATGAGAATTAATAAAATTCATAATAACGCTCTTCTGACGGGTACTCATGATGTTTGCAAATGTTTGTCACAAAATGGCCACTGATTCACTGTGTACATCAGAAAGCAGAAAATGGTCTTGACATCATGTGAAAAATGCACATTTATTTTGTTGCAGACAAAATCTATCTTCACAATTGGCTTGTTAAGTAACCGTATGTTCCTTCTGGCGGTAACACTCTCTGTGGTTGGTCAGATGCTGGTCATTTACTTTCCACCCCTGCAGAAGGTATTCCAGACAGAAGCTCTCACATTTAAAGGTATGTAATTTAGTGGTTTAGTCCAGTCAGGTCCATTTTGAGTAAAACTGTGTGTGAATGGTGAAACAAAGCATTCTGAATGTCAGCACTGAAGAAGTGAGTGGTTAACTTCATGCTGTAGCCATCTTTATCTATGAGGGAGTACCCTAGTGCCCATTTAATTTGGGATGAGGATGACTTCAGAGTCATTTTTAATGTGGTTAAAGAATGCTGTCAGGAATTGAACCTTGGTATTCCAGACTGTAGCTGCTCACATGACTTCATTTATTTACTTATTTATTCATCAATTCTTGGTTTATTTATAATAATTTAGTTGCTTAGATTATATAGCATCAAATTATAGGATGATGGTGAATAATGAATTGGAGAGGAATATCGTGTTAGCTGCCTGAAGGCAGTGAGAAAATGTCTCAAAAAACCTCAGTTTGGCTGAGACAACCTGGGACCTCTCTAATATGAATCAAGAGTTCTAACCACTTGACTCACTCCATTTCAGAAATTGGGAAGTGACAGAAAATTAAGTTATCAGTGTTCCTCATATTTTTTCAAGTGTCTAAGGAATTCTTACCATGTTAAGTTCTCTGAAATATCGCCATTGTTTTCCTTAATATTGTTTCTACTTTCATACGATCTCTTTGTGTGAAATGCATAGATTGGCTGTGAAGTTGGGTTATCTGTCTGCATGTTTTATGTGCAAAATCACTGTTTGGATTTCATTGAAATTTGATATTATGGTTCTTCGATAATAGTTACAAGTCAGTTTAATTTTGGTTTATGTCAGTCTAATAGACAGTCTACTTTACATTTAGTTTAAAGTGAACTTTATGATATTTGTAAGATTTGAGGTTTTCACAGCAGTGATTATGAAGATTTCACCCTGATGACGGAGGCAGTATGACCTCTGAAACGTTGGTTAACATCGACCATACTACACAGCGCAACAACCCGGAAGACAGAAATCTTTATGAAATTTCTCAAAAGTATCTAAGTATCAGAGGCCAATGAAAGTGGCTCAGGGTTGAGCTTGTTATTAGCAGTGTTGAAACCTCAGGTTCTGCTACCAGCATTTTAGGTTAGTTATTTTGCTGTGGTGCATTTTTAAAAATATTTTCTTTTTGCATTCCTGTAATGCCAGTGACATGAAATATTGTGGCTTTTTCCATGTGGTAAGAATATTATTTTTCTGAAGTTTGATTTGATGCTGTAAGTGCCACTGAAAGGGAAATGTTGGCTTGAATCAAAAGGGTAGAGTGTTTGATTGCAGATATCTTGTTCCTGGTGAGCCTGACATCTACAGTGTTTATCATCTCAGAACTGAAGAAGATGCTGGAGAGACATCTTGAGAAGCGCCACAAATCCGTCAAGTCAGATCTCGATTTTGTATGACAGTTAAGGAAAACCAGGAATAAGGCCCGCGTAGACTAAGATTTTATCTATCATAATAGAGAATATTTCTTGATGTAAAAGTCTATCCTAAAAATGGGGAAGGGTCTCTTCTGGTGCAACAGTTTGAGAACAAATAACTATCTTGAACTTGGCAGCATTTCTTAAAATGAAAAACTGGTAATGTCTAGTAAAATATTTATTTTGCATTGTTGCAAGTCCTGTGTCATAATTATGATGAATTTGAAGTCATTTGCATAGTGTAACCACGGTAAAGTACATAATTTATGTTTGTATTAATTGATGGCAGTGGCTTACATTTCACTTACATTGTTTTTATTGCAAATTTGTTTGCTTTTTTCTCTCCAGGTCCTATTTGATGAATGTGATAGGGTAAATATATTATGAACAGGATTACACCAGTGCATTTATATGTTTTACTGACATACTGTCTTAATTCAAAATAAGATATAACATGTATTACATGTCTTAACCATTACTGAAGCAAAACACAATGGAGGATCTGTGATATAAGAATTGAAAGCAGTGTGCTGATAATTCTCAAGTATGATAGTAATTATGCATACTATAAACTAACTATACGAAGCTGAGTATAAATCTCGGTATTCATACGTACATGATGCTGTGAAGTGCAGGTTTGTACGAGTGTGAATTATATAAGCTGGCTATGAAGGCGTTAAAGTGAATGCAAAATCTTATAACAGGAGGAATATTGTTAAGAAATTGTAAACAGTAAATAAAGTAAGAAATTAAAGAAAAGGACTTGTAGAAGAATAAATCTAGTTATTAAGTGTTTTATTAAAGTATTACATATGATATTTGTGGAATCTTTCAAGGATGAGTTTCTTGACAAATAGTTAACTGAACCAAAGATGATTCATAGGTCACATTTTTCTCAACAGACTATAGGTTTTTGTATAGTAGATGCAGCCAGTAAATATGTAAAAGGTTTCTGCTAGCAAATGGTCTTACCTGCAGTCCTGTTTTATTGGTGCATGGTATAATTCTCATTACAGATAGGGTATAGTATCCAATTAATTGTTTTTTATGCCCACTTTAATGACGTGTGGTTTATTAGAACCATTAGTATATACGTGAGTGCCACTTTGAATGTTCATAGACATTCCTCATACTTTTTGAATGTTAATGTTAAAGACTTGAATTTAAAGAACTGTATTAGAGGTGTTTGAACACAGAGTTTCTGGCCTCTTCAGTCAATATTTGGAAGTAGTACTGTGAGCATCTGCTTTTTCGGTGTGTGTAATCTGTTTTGAATAGATGCAGTGTAGTAATTTGTAAATGTTGGTGAAATTAAATATTGATGTTAGGTGTAGGCCGATTGTATGTTTGTAATTTTGATGTTTCAAAAAAAAAAATTAGGTACCACTAGCTATTCTAATGGTTAAATTGTCACTCTTAGTATGGGATTATGAGAACTTCCGGAAGTGTACTTGAAAGGCTAACATTTGTGTTACCATTTGAAGCACAAAACCTTACAGATATGTTGTTGGGGGAGTTTGGTTATGTATCCTGTTAGTTTCCAACATACCAAAAAAATAATTTATAAGGTGTAATTTTCTTTTTCCCATAATACAGTCTATTATTATTCTGATAGCATTGTATTTCTTACCATAGTACACAAATGTATGTTAACTTCATGATAAAATCTAGGATGATTATTTCAAAGTAATATTTAACAAAAGTATTATGGATTAGTGGTTAGTTTCTCAGACATCAGCATTTATACCACGTATGTGTACCAAATCAATGATTCTTTAAGAAAATGTGTGAATTCTTATTAATTTTTAATTTTGCCATGACCCATTCTCATGTTCTGGTCATAATCCTAACTTTATTTTACCATTCCATTATATAGAATTTGAGAATTTATTTGTTTGTGTGTAGAACTATGTGTAAAGGATCATACAAATTCAAGTGTCTGATGTATCCAGATTTATACTATCTGTGATACATTTCTTTGTAACTGAATGCCAGTTTCAGGTGTGTGCAATACACAAGTGGTATAGATATGATGTATTGAAATAATAATTAAATAAAAATTTTCTGCTCGTAAATTTGTTCATGATCTCAGAATTATATAGAATTATAATAATTATGCTGTCGGTATAACTTTTATAATTTGTTTGAAAGTATTATTTAAAATACTGTAAGTTATAAACTAATAGCATATAGAATTGGGGCACTGTGGATTCATATAATATATTTTAAAAGTTTTTAAATATTTTGTATCAGTACTTTAAACAAATTGTTATTTCAAGAATTTGGGCTTTTTGTGGCCCAATAACTCAGCTTCAAATTTGTGTAATGCTATTGATATGTGTTGCTTAAATGTATTAAATACTTATGAAAGTAAGGAAAGTTGCACTGACAGTGTAATTATTAGCATTTTTTGTTGATTTAAAAAATGGTTGAAATATCATCCATATCAGTTCTTACTTCAAGATGTATGAAGGATAATCATACTGAAAGACAAGGTTCATTGGAATAATTTGCTGTAGATTGTCTTTGAATGAAATTTAATAATTATGCAGAGGAGCATACCTCAGAAATGGTAAATGGCTAAGAAGGGGAAAATATGCCTATTTGCATGTTACTGTATGCCCATATTAACATATGGTGCAGCAACAAAAACATGGATGATTGTAGATATGAGGTTTTTTAGGAAATATAGACACAAATCCCAAAAGTGATAGAATAAGAAACAAAAGAATTAAAGAGAATGTAAACTTAATAGACAAACTTTCAAATAACTTAATCAAATGATATGGAAACTTTTAAGAATGAATGAAGAGAGAATTCCAAAGAAGGTTTTAAACTTGAACATGAAATGAAGAGGGAGACCAAGATTAAGGTGGGACCATCAGGTTAGGAAAGATGTTGCACAGAGGGAAGGAAGAACATGGAGGACACTGAGGAGGAGATGTGGGAAGACAGAAATAGATGTAGAGTTTTTGGTTTTCAGAAGATCCACGTAAAGTGATTACAACATTAACTGTGAAGAGAGTAAGGAAAATGAAATTGTAATTAAGATAAATTAATTATTATGTGTGCACATCGACTTTTGATCACTTTGTATTTTGGATTTTTCATCACAGTTCTGTCAAGGGCTTATTGCAGTGCATCAGTATTTTTGTTTTGAATTGTACTAGATCATCCAATAGAGCACCAACTTCAGAATGCAGGATGTCTTGGTATGGTCCTTTGCCTGAAGGAGAGTTAACACCATCAAAATGTATACAATTTTTCAGTCTGTGTGTGGCATATTGAGAAGCATACCCATTGCTGACGAGAATGTTGCCTTGGCAAGGTTCAGAAAGAGAAATGTATTTAAAAATATAATTTTACAGATTGCATTGTGTGATGAGAATCGACCGAGTTTTCTGTGGCCCCGGTATTATATTTCACAATTTTGGTTTCCTGTATTATTCTGTATGGGTAACAGGTAAATCAAAATGTGAGGACATACAAGAGATTCTTTGATATTACCTATGCTTGACACCATTTATGTTTAGTTGGGATAGTCTGTTGTAGTCCAGTTCAATTCTCACGATAAGAGAACACTTATTAACTTCACTTTAACATGCTTATTGACGCATAACCTGTTACTTGTTGCTATTTTCTCACTTGCATCATGACAGTGTATAGATTAAGTATAACATAAAATGAGTAACGCAGATGCATTGATGAATGAATGTAATTGTTTCTAATAACAAGGGATGTAAGTTTGAGTGAAAGAATGAATGAATTCACATTCAGACTTCCTAGTGCTCTCGTACTTTGAATAGGTTCTGAAGCCGTGTGTTTACATGTATTTCCTGTAATCTGTTTTCAAGTTTCTGACTCTGTGACACTGAACTGAGAGAGACTAATAAAAGTGTGCATTTTTTTCACTTGTGTCAGTGAACCACATTACTATAGATTTTATTTATTTGTTGCTGCTAATTGTTATGAATTATTAGCATTGTTATATTTTTTGTGAAAGCTTGTTACTTTTGTATATCACAGTACTCCAATGTGTTCTCATTTGTGTATTCTGATTTCCATTATGTTTTGGTAACTGCATCTAGCATTCCTGTGTGCTTCGTATTTGACGTGCTGGTAAATGTATTTTTGAACGTTGTACTAGAAAGAATACACAGCTTCCTCAGTTAATGTTTTTCTGTTGACTTAATTTATTAACCTCACATTATACTTTGTTTTGATGGAGTGCACACACACACATTTATATCTTATGCATAAGGTCCTTTTCATGTTCCAGATTTCTTCATGTCTGATCTAGTTGCTAGGCAGCCATAATTATCATTCTTACAGTGTAATTGTTGAAAGTGTAAAGAAATCGCTATGTGGTGCTGTAGCAGTAAATAATAGAACATATGTTTGATATCTCATTTTAATGCTTTGTTTTGCTCATTAGGTAAATAAGCAGTTTGTATTTTCAGTACAGTCTGTTTCAAGTAAATCCTTGATGAAGAACAGGCAGCTTTGCTAGTCTCTTGATGAGTATTTTTTCTAGGATGCATCAGTGATTTATAAACTTTGCTCTGACAAATTTATTTGAATTATATTGTGTGAAGTGTGTGGGTCTGAGTACAGATTACCTTTTTCTTTCTCACACTGAAACAGTGAACATAAATGTGTCATTTGTAAAGCAACCAACTTTGTACTGGAATTTGTGCTGAATCTCCTATTTATGATATGTACGTGTGATGGCAGTGATCTGTAGTCACACTGACATGATTGCTATGGTACTTTCTGAATGTATAATGTGTTCTTGTTAGAGTGAAGAGTGGATGACTGATGGCATGTAAGATTTGAGGTTTTCACAGCGGTGAGTATGAAGATTTCTGTCTTCTGGGTTGTTGCGCTGTGTAGTCTGGTCGATGTTAACCAACGTTTCAGAGGTCATACTGCCTCCGTCATCATCACCCTGATGACAGAGGCAGTATGACCTCTGAAACGTTGGTTAACATCGACCAGACTACACAGCGCAACAAACCCAGAAGACAGAAACCTTTGACTGATGGCATGTTTTCATATCTTAATAGCATACTGTCTGATGGAGTGCACATACATTCAAAATAAAAGACAAGCTGACAGCTACTTTTTCCCTGAAGATAATACCTCAGAGCAGTATTGGACTGGTGATATATATTTAACTCTTTCTTTGTTACGCTGAGATTGGGTATTCAAACCCTTGTGCTATGGGGTTTCTGGCTCGGCTTTAAACTTTGAGACTTAACAATTTGGCAGTATGTTCCTGTGACAGCCAGTTGGACTTCTTATAAGATGTAACACATGGCTGATAAAGGTTTCATCTTGCACTAGAATGTACGCCATTGTAAATAAATTGATAGTTTTCGTGTCATACAAATAAAATCTAATTAATACAGGTAAAAGAATTTTTATGTTGTACAGAAGAACACTGACTACATTTTGATGTCAGTGTTTTCATAATTCAAATGCTGATTTATAGATTGTGTATTATTTAATAAGAGTCCTGCCCCATTTGTCATTGAGGTCATGCCTAGGTCAGGTACAGATGACCAGGCCTTGGTCTGATGTAATACTGAGGCTAGGGGAATAGTTAAAAGGTAAATAATGGTGTTGTTTAGAGGTAGGAAAATGTTGTAAAAGTTATACATTTTGGAAGAGATTATACTCTTATTCCAAAGGTATGTGTTTAATCTTGATGCTGGAGACATGATTATTTGTGATAAGAAAACATAAATGTGTAAAAGTTATTATTTTACTGGTACTGAATTGAATTGAATTTTATGAATGGAAATAAGCTCCAATTGTTTGGCCAGACATAAATCCTCAGAACAACTACTTTCAGCCAAGAGCTTGTATTAATACTAATTTATTAATGTTAGACTTTTTTCAATTTTTTTTAAGTTACGGTGACTGATACATGTTTCTTCTAAGTATGTGGTGCATCTCACAGTATTTTTAAACAGCTGGAAGTTGTTTTGAATCACAGAAATCATCATATAGTCCCTTGCTTTAGTAGAAAGTAGTTTTACAAGGCCCACACTTTAATGTAGTCCACTTGCAAGGCTGTATTGTCACTATTCCAGGTTGGGAGCCATTGGTTGCGTCCATTCCAGAAGTCGGTCGATGCCTGAAATTAAGAATATTAATGAACTGGTGCTATAGTTATAATATAAAGTTGTAGCACTAGTGCCAGAGCCATTTTTATTAATTCTTGTAACAGTTATAAACCTTGGCTGTGCTACTTTATGATACACAGCAGAAATTATATTCATTGTACAATACAAAAATTGTTAATAATGCTTGAGTTTAAAAAATATGTGTCCTTTATTAAAGCAGCTTTCAAGCAAATTAAAAGTACGTACTGGTGCTGCATGACGTATGGATTTACCTTTTATTTTCAGAAATGTGCAGTGAGTTACAGTGTGTAAAATTTTATATGATGAGAGACTGCAAATATGTTACCATTTGTTACAAATTGGGTTGTTTGAGTTAGTCTTTTTAAATGAAGGTTGTGTTCATCAAAAACAGTAATGTAAAAAAAACATTTACTGCATGTGATCAGTGTTCGCTGCACTGAAATTTAATTTTAATAAATTCCATGAACCATTCATTTTAAAAGTATGTCTACATGACATAGAATTACTTGAAACATTAATTTTGTATGGTACATATTTAAGAAAATTCAGGAATATATCTTGTATGCCTGACTTAGAGTGGTTCTAAGGGACTATTATCATTCAAAATAAAATTAATATGACTTCAGTGTAAGCAGCCTGTGCCCATTTATATGGTATTTACATGGGCAGGGTAATGCGCAAGGGGGTTACCTGGTGCTTCATCTTGTTGATGTACCAGGAAATTTCTAGTTTTGTCACTGTACAGCAGAAAATCAGTAAAGTGACTGGCAAGGGGCTGGATGATCAAGGTTAAGTTTCCAGCTGAAGAAGGGATATTTTCGTCACCACTACATCCAGACTGGCTCTGAACCCCACCCAGCCTCCTATTTAATAGCTTATGCAGTTGCTGTTTCCCTGGGAGTAAAGTGTCCAGAGTGTCAAGCTAACTATGTGCCTTCTACTAGTGCCAGTGTTGAAAATGTGGAGCTTAAGCTCCACTGCACCATACATCTTCATAATATGTTGCTTAAATATGGGACATTACTTTCACTGGTAATGATCTGTATTTTTCAGTAGCATAATTCATTGATTATAATTCAGTCAGCAAGATTGAATTTGCTTCTCATAAGCAGTGGTGTATAGTTCAGTAGAGTTACTTGAAATAAAATAATAAAGTAGATACATTTAGTTTTAGGATGAATATATACCTGGGGTGAGGTATTGAGCCATGGTTTACCTCCTGGATTCTGTGCACCATCAGGGAAGAAGTCATTCACTCCTCCAACAGCAACATTAAGTATAAAGTAGAACTATGATACAAGAAACAAAAAAAAGTACTTTATCAGATTTAATATTTATTTATATATTTTAGAAAATGTACCTAAAGTGGAAACATGTTAGGAATAATAATGATAATTAAATAAAGTTTTGAAGGGATCGGGTTATAATAGGCTAGCCAAAAGAACAAACATGGAATCATTTGGCATGATGAAGTATTTGAATGGCATATGTGAATATGAGCAAGCCTATATTCTGAAATGGAGACGGTTGTTTCCTATGTTGATACAGTATTACTCTGTGAATTGTCCTGTGGTCAAAGATTATATTTCTAAGCAACTAGTAGCACAGATGCCCACAGTACTGTTGCTGTGACTTCCAGTTGTGTTCTGTTGGCTCCCTTTCTGTATTTGAGAGACAAGGTGTAAATGGGGAGATAATACGAAAGTGATCTTAAAGACATGTGGTGTGTGAACCGTGTTCTTGTGGCCCAGGATTATGTCCAGTGGCAGACTCTTGTGAAAATGATAAATCTTTGGGTTCTGTTAAAGGTGATTACCAGCAAAGTGATCATTAGTTTCTTCAAGCCTCTACTTCATCTTTAATGACTAGTTCATCTGTGCTGGTGGCATCATTCCACATTCTGCTTATTAGAATTTTGTAAGTGAAACTTCATATTGATTTGTATTTGTTGGTTAAGATGTCATATGTGGATAGTAGACTTAATTATTAATTAGATAAATGACAGAAAACAATACACACTAACTATAAAAGTGAAAAACAGAGAGACATCATAACCATGGTAGCTAAAAGTAATTACTACAACAAGAATGTAATGTCTAAATTTAGCTCAGTGTTACAAAGCAATAATTAGCAAACACTATTAATTGCATTTTTGAAAATCCATTTGAAAAGTTATTGAATTGTTTAAATGTACAAACATAAAAAGCAGAGTGAGATTAAATAAGGTATTGAATATTATGCTCAACCCAAAAAGATTAGGAGAGGTGTATGATGAAAATGGAATTTATGAAAAACATTTGCAGATAAAAATTTATAATCAGGTATAAGGAACACATAAATGGAATTGCCTTTGTAGACGTAAATTGAAATTAAAAGAAACATAAAAATATATAATGTAGTTATGATACTATGCACAGTGCTATGGAAATGCTTAAAATATGCCCCAAGAAGAACTTGATTATATGAAAATATGTATATATAAATTTACCATAAAATAATTCTCGATAAGGAATTCACTAATAAGGAACATACTCTTTGGGTCAACTGAAGATAGCTGAGAACTAACAACTCTTCAAGAAGGAATAACACGTCAAAAGAAAAGAGTTTTTAACAAGACCAGTGAATGTTTCATATGTATATATCATAGATTTTTCCCTATAGTGTTACATTAGAGTGTACAAGTCAACTAAATAGCCATTAGAAATAAATAAAATTCATAGTTTTATAACATATCAGTGACACATAATAATGATGTATGCTTTGTCAAAATGCAATGGATTGTTCATGAATACATAAATAATGTACTTTTAAAGACTGCGAAGGTTAAATATCAGCTTATTTTTATTAATTATTTGAGGGTTAAACTTTCTATAAGAGAATACTCACTGGTTGATCAAAGGGTGCCATCTTGTTTCCAAATTTCCAGGGATTGTCAATAGTTCCAACTTGTGAACTAAACTGACCTAGCTCCCAGAACCCACCTTCTGAAGGCGCTACTTTGCCAATAACTTCGTTATTGATGCCAAACTGAATGTAATCTAGAATGATTGAAGTAAGCAGTACAATTATTATTTGGAACATACTTTAATATTTAATTTTTGTAGTTATCAGTGGAGTAATAAGAGTATACATTTCCAATGTGACAAATGGAGCAAAGGAAATGTTCACAAAGCAAGAATTCAGAAATTCATTATTTTGCTTATATGGTTTTTCTTTGTGTCAGGCAATAATTATCTATACCATTTCTTGACCATTCCACTGTTGGACATCTTGGTTTGTTATTTTAAATTTTCTTTATTTAATCATTAATATGGCGATACTGTCTGCCTTCATTCTGTCACATTGCAAATCCATTTATTTCTGTCGACTAACATTTCTTCAGTGTAGATTGGACTACTTATAAAAGTAAGTATGATAGAAAAGTAAGACAGAGACCATGTGTCACTTTTGCCTTGAAGATGGAGGCAGTTTGTTCCTCTGAAACAACATCAGTGTTCACTTTTTTCTACTTTATAGGAAGTGAATTAGAAAAGGTAAAGGCAGTTCTAGTTTGCTTCAAATGTAACAGCAGCACCGAAAATAAAAGTGTGTATGAAAAATATGAACCTCCATCATTGGCTTTCATTGTTTTTTGAGTGGCGATAATACCATGACATAGCTAACTTGGTAGCTTCATTGTTGGAATATGCTATGATTTTGTGGTCAGAGAGTTACGAAATATAGTGTGATTTATGGAAGAATGACAACTGAGTATGGCAATACATTCTTGAACCAGGGAAAAGTTCAATAATGAATGAGCGGAATGATTCAAATAAGGACGCCGTTGACAACAACATGCAATGAGGTAAAGGAATAAGTCAACCAGAGTATCCAGGACAATAAAAGAATTAGCACTGGTGAGGGTGGAGGATGTGGAAGAATGGCTTATGGGACAACCAAATAAAATCTCTTCTGATATTCTGAGAAAACATGTAGTGTGATGGACCAAATGCGTGACAAGGCAAGATTATTATGTACATAGATTAAGATGTATCTTAAACGTAATCATTTTATAAAAAGTTACATTTAATGTTCTACTTATCTTCATATGTTTTGCTGTTCTTACCTGGAGTCCATTCGAGCTGGAAGAGATTGAAGTTTGTATCGAAGCCTGCTCCAGAGGCTGTGTTCTTCTCGAAGTGTGCGTGTTCGAATCCATTGAGTGGCCAGAAAGGTCCGAAATGCAGAGTGGAAGAAGTCAGTTCAGTACCAATATTTTGTCCATTATTGATCAGATTCCTGTTTCCACGACCCTCAGAGAGGTCTATCTCACCAGAAGAAGGCCAGGAACCGTAATAATTGTACCGCGGCAGAAGCCATATTGCTGCAGACAAATATTTAGTGATGCTGTCAGTAGCTCAGACTATTATAGTGGTCGCATTGAAGGTGGAGGCAGCTCTGAAACGTCGTTAAGGCTTTGACCGGGATGTTCTTTTGTTAAATCTTATGTGGTACCGCCTGATTCGACTTCTAATGGTTAAGTGAAGTGTTTTCTTCGCGGTACGGTCTGGATTCGTAAATATTATGAAGACGAGCTTCGGCTTCAAAGGGTTAACCAGCTGATTTTCGTAACGGTGAGGTGTAGTGTTTTCTTCGCGGTACGGACTGAATTCATAAATAATATTCAGACGATCTTCGGCTTCAAAGGGTTAAAGACTGTTTAGCTTGCGTCTGGGATCGAACCTAACCTAACATTTACCTTTTTAAGCCCTTTGCCTCTTCCGGATACACTGAGACCCTTTCTTCCGTCTTTCCGTCTGACGTCTTTGGCACATTCTGCTCAGTCCAATTTGCGACTATCAGACTACATGGCGACATCAACCCAGAAGATAGCAATCTTCCAAGTATAAATAAGGAAATCGGTGTGACACAGGCAGAGTCCAATAATTACAGTTATCAAATAAAGATTAAATAATTATTCATGGTTAGATTTCGGTTGTCGCATGCTGTTGTTTCCATAAGAAGAACTATTTTTTACGTGTCGGAACTTACGGGACAAATCGAGATGTTTAATGTGCCTATTCATAATTCTTCTTGAGAAGAAAAAAAAACACAACAAAAACAGCTCAGGTATTGAGATTATGTACTTTTACGGAACCCAGACCAAAAATTTCATTTTCCTGTTCGTAGGATTCAGCCACTGGTCCCCATCGTGAGTCAGACGAATTCCCGCCCACAAACTCCCAGCCTGAGATCCTCGCATTAAGGCAAATTTTTATAGGCATAATATTGTTCCAAATGGTGTCTTGCATTTCTGTCGAGGAGAAAGTCTTCTTCTATCCACGTGTAAGAATGAAAGAAATTTCGTCTTACCTGGCCACAGCCAATCGCCAGCTGGCAATTTCGCTCTCACTTCCACTTTTCCATATGTGAAGCTGAAGGATTCCACTGTGCGAATTCGTGCGGAATTTACGGGATTGAGGAGGTTTGAAGCACTTCCTGTACGTTCGCAGCCCCAGTCTTGTGGATTTGTGCACCTGGACAGAATGGCCGAAAACATAGTACTTGGTTCGTGTTCTCAACCACGTTCGAACTCACCACGTATGTCAGAAGTCCTTCAGAAGTTGATAGTCGCTCATAACTAACCAACCAGATGGCTTACCGAACCCGAAGGTTCATCACCGAATTAACCAAAGCCCACCACCGGACCCTGTCCTGGGCCAACAAAATCCAGTCTCATTCAACTCCTATCTCCCATAGATCCCGTCTGAGATTATCCTCCCATCTACGTCTAGGTCTCCCCAGCAGTCTCTTCCCCTCAGGCTTCCCAACCAGTACCCGGTGCACACCTCTTGTCCCATCCATGCGCGCTACATGCCCCGTCCATCTCATTCTTCTCGACTTAATCACTCTGACAATATTGGGGGAGGAGTACAGATTTTTAAGCTCATCATTGTGCAGTTTTCTCCACGCCCCATCGTCTTCTCTCCTAGGCTCATGCGGCCAGTAAATAAAGGTGCCGTGTTTTATGGTACAGAAAGGTTTATTACCGCGTTCAGCGTGCATAAATGCAGTTTACATACTTTCGCATTACACATTTCTAAGACCCATTTTGAGATTATCATCCCGTCTTCGCCTAGGTCCTCTTTCTTTCGACTTCTTGATTAGAATTTTGCATTCATTGTTCATCTCCATGCGTGCTACATGTCCCACCCATTACATCATTATCAACCGTGGTTTTATCATGGACAGTCATTCTTAATAATTTAGTTTAATAGTCTCTTAGCTGGTAAAGAAATCCCGTATGTTATAATGACCAGAACGTTCATTACCGTGTTCACAAGAGCCCGATGCTAGTCCCTACCGTAACCGTGTGGTAACCATGGGTTCAAAGCTATAACACATGAAATTAGTAGAACAAGTGACTGAGGAAATAAACGAAGGAACAAGTAAGTAAATAAAAGGAACGTACGCGTCAGCTGGTGCTCCACCCTGCAAGTTGAGGACGCCGCTCGACAGAAAATCTTCTCCATACTTGTCCGAAGTTAGCGTAGGCTTGATATTGAGCTTTCCATCTTTTACAAAACTGTTGGATCGGTTATTGTCATAAATTTCAAATTCCCAGTTCTGTAAGTGAAGACAAAATAAATAGTTCATAATAACAAAAGCAGTCGCCACACTGGCGAAAGAACGGACCCACGTATTAAGATCGGAATTTTTGAGAAATAACGAGGTTTCAGATGCCCGGCTGGCCTCTTACTGCATCTGTTGTTGTTCAGAGCCTCAGCAAGCTTGCCAGCACGTGTTTTAATCGCCCTGATGATGGAGGCAGTAAGTACATGTGAAACGTCAGTAAACTTCTGCTAGACTACACGGCGCTACAACCCAGTTTTATACTTTTTCCTTTCTCTTAAACACCACTTCCGGCCCACCTTCATTACGATGAGATGGAGCAGGCTTACGCCACTCGTCGGGGAGATGAGAAATGATTGCGCGCAATTTGAGTAGCAAGATCTGAAGGGAAGAAGCCCATTGAGCGGGAAATTTGTAGACTAGCTGACTGACCATCAGCGTCTTAAGAAGGTCCTTGCTCCTTGGAGTTAGTCAGTGGGCTATATAATTCAACACATACCGCGTTTTGAATCCTGGACTCGAAATGGAACTTACCCCACCCCCAGATGCAGTTTTCTCGTGGTTCCAAGTCGATAAGTCTAAAGTGTCGAATTCTTCGTTGAAGATGAGATCCCCGCTGCAGATATGTGATGGGGCCTTCGTGCCAATAGCCGTAGTGGCGGATGGGGCACATTGCGACGAAGCAACAGCGAGGGTGCACGCCAGTACGACGAGAAATTTCATGGCCGAAGTCTGTATGATTGTTGGACCCAGAAAACGCTGAATGGTAACGGCAGATCGGTAACCTGCTATTTATAATGATGTCTTTACGGTGCCATATATTTGTCACAAATTTCTCACCTGTTTCAATAAATATGTGTTTGTGGTGTTCGTATGTGTGTCGGAATAAATGACATAGTTGTGACAAACACGTGTTGCACAAGCAGATTTGTTAGGTTGGCGATTAATGCTTTTTGGTAAAAAAAAAAAACACACACTAAGTACAATTTTGCATTTATGAGGAGCTTGTATGAACTAAAATGGCTGAGTCATTAAAGACGCTGACTACGGGTTGGAAGATTAGGGTTCTGATTCCGGACATGGTCAGTGATATACTCTTAGTCACAGCAATTGATAGTTTTAATGACAAATCTTGCCATGTAGATGATTTCCAGTCACATGAAAACAATACGTTGTGTAAAAATATTCTTCTGGACTTTTAGCATAGTCTGAATTTTAAATAATGATATGTACGCGCTTCGGAAGCTGGATTCTGTTTTCGTCGTCATTTAAAAAGGGGAGTGCAGAGGGCAGAGAACCTCTTTGCTGGACCCTATGGTTGAACTCTACCACATCTGATGTAATTTATATGACGAGCCTTGTCAGAAATCTTTCAGACATCGAAGACAATACGATAGAACAAAAATTAATATTTTTGAAAAAAATGTAAATATTAATTTCATATTCTGTTGCATTATTTTGCTTTAGCTGAATATCCACAAGGCAAGATTTATCCTTAAAACGTTTTGGAAAAGTAAATATTTATCTATTTTGGGGTTAATTCTTTTGTGTCTTCGTTCTGCTGCTTACTTGCTTCAGATTAAACGTTGTCATAATATTATCGATAACCTGGATTTATTGGTTTGCCAACGCTCTCTTCAGTTAAATACATGAAGCTAATAGAGTCTGAGCCACAACAGAGTGTGTTGTGTTCCTGTAGGATATCTTTTAACATTGTAAAGAATCTTAATGTTCCTCTGTTCGTGAATGATGTAAGCAATATTTCTCGTATAGTTCCAGGATCCTTGATCTGTCGATATTTCCCCGCTCATCCATCATAGGAAATTTTACGTTTCCTTTCTATTACAGATAAAGTAGAAAAGCTGACATTGATTACTTAAAATTATTTTGAATTTAAAATGTGTAAGAGATTATTCGCCCGTTCTGTAAACAATTATTTGCGTTAATATAACAGGTAAACAATATAATGTTGTCTGTGAGACATTCAACAAATTATTCGTGTTTATGCGAAGTGTTATGAATATAAGGCATGGAAACTAATTATTCACGCTCGTAAGACGTCATCGTACAGATGCGTTAACACTACATTGGTTGATACTAATCCGTGAATGTGGCCGCATTGTTTGCGCTGGTTTCTATTGTGCATCTGGTAATGTGTGTCACTTGAATTTCCGAGGAATCCGTTGATTCCTCGACAGAGATAAGTTCTAAATTTTAAAGTAGAAAATTGGTACAAGCAGCATAACGGGATGTTAAATGCAACGCCCACTTTGATATTTCGAATTCAAGGGAGTACGTGCCAAATTTTTGGACACTCCTGTGCATAATTTTCGAAACAGAAAAAAAAAGTCAGTAATTTTTCCCGGGTCTGTCCGTCCAAAAAGAACATTTCTATGTCTACCATTATTATGATGCGCCGTCATGTACCACAGAACCGAGTGTCAGTTCCGAAAGCCAGAATCCATCGGATAATAGTTTCGAGAACTGAAGTCCAGGTACCCAGTTTAAAAAGTTGTGATGAAACTACATTTTTCGCAACGCCTACCAGAGTTGGTGGGACCGACCCGCTCTACAGACGGGTCGGAGAAGTTGCTGCACCAGAACGGCGTTCCTTTTAATAACTGTTTTACTTGTTGAAGATGACTGTCTTATGGAATGTTGCGCCGTGCAATCTGGTACATATAGACCATTTTAAATGTTATTCCTTGATACGAAGGGCTTCGAATCTGCGAACTTAGAATATAGTAACGTCTATATAGAGGCGTTCTAGGTGAGATTTCAGGTTCTTACCATTTTAGTTATTGATCATGGTTTTCTGAGTAATGTTGGAGGAACTTACCGCCTCAGTTTTCGGGTTACCTGTGTTCTGAAGATGGAAACGTGGCAAATACATACAAGACCGCAAGACAATCAGAACCCAAAAAGGAATAACCTGCATTTGCACCAGTATGAAAATCTTAGATTTCAGACGGTTTGCTTGTAAACGTGGAATATCTCCGTATGTAGGGCTGCACAAAATCTTATCCTGTGGACACGGGGATCGTTCCGCGGGTGTGTAGCAGTCGGTGAAGCTAGAACTAGTGCCAAGATTAATAATGCGTGGAACAAACCTACACTTCAACATCTGCCTTTATGGAGTGATTCTTATGGGAAGTGGCCTTGTTTGCCTTATTTTGTGTATAAGAAGAAGTTATCGCCCTGATGATGGCGGCAGCAAGGATCTCTGATCTACTAGACTACAAGGCGCAACAACCCAGAAGACAGCCATCTTCAGACACACCTTCGTGTAAACCTCAGATCCTAACAAGTCTGCATATTAATCAAACGGTGAATGTCGTATCCCATAAATCACAATACATCTCCATTCAAAGATCAATTGGTAATGCTGTTTACGAAAATTATAGCTGCTTATTCTGATAATCGTGCGAAAATAAGAAATACACACTGTGCACAAAATTCTGTTAATTAATGTTGAAATACGTAGTACATATAAGTTTTGCTTTAAAGAGTTAAGAACCACGTTGTGATAACGTATGGAGAAGTGCAGTTTTAACCTCTCGAAATTGGTGGTCAGCTTCATGCATCAACCCAGTTGTGTGTTGAAGGACCGACCGGTACACTACGGATAAGATGCTCGGTGAGCCCCATGATGGTGCCACGAGTCGAACACCGCTCGTCTGGTCACTGGCCAGTCATTTGATTGACTTCACTGTTCGGATCGTCATGTTAGAACATTCCAAAATACTCAACATGAAGAGAGAAACGTCCACAGTACTGTTGGTTTAAGGGTCGCACCATTGGGGAAGAATTTTTACGCAAAAATTCTACTATTAATATGATAATAACGTTCTTTGAAAGAAACAGACATTTTATCTGACAAAATTATCATTAGCTTTCCAGAAACATTTTCTTGATTGCCTCTAAATTTTAACGGATAGGCATAAATGCTTCAAAATTTTAAACCTAAACGACCTTGAAGTAACAAATGTCACGAAGCTTTTGACGTGAGCAGACTAACGAGTAGTATAATTGACAGTTTGCTTTGTTATTCATGTTACGAGGTGCGATTAGAAAGTTTCAATACTGTGTCAATAGAGGGCGAACCGGATGTAGTACGAGCTTCTGCCGCTAAGGGTTTGGGCCTACATTCATAGTGAATCAGTGTGCCAGCCGGCATCATCGAATTAGCATTTGTTTCTTAGTTACGGGCGTTTTGGTAGTGCATTACACCGACCCTCCTGCGATTT